TTTTTTTTCACGTGTAGTATAGAAATTTGTAATAAGATACATAATGCGGTTATAATAAAATATTGTGCGATTATTTTCATATAATTAAAACTAATATGTATTTATTTTTTAGAAAATACAAGGGAACGGCTCATCCACCGCTTCCAATGACGGCACGCCACTGTCCGAAACTATCAAATTCACTGATTAGAGACTTTACTTAAGTCTTTACCAAAGTATTATGTCTTTTCAGTAAAAAAAAACAAAAACGGAAAGGTTTAAATTTTTAAAATGTATAAGTATTAAAATCAATCGGAACTTAAAATATCTTATTCTGTAAAATTTTGTTCTCATATATAACTTGATTTGTTTTAAAATCTTTTTATCCATGCATTTACTTCGTTTCGCAGAATAAAGTTACAATGGAAAAATTCTCTTATTTCATATCATTATCCACATTGAAACACAATATGTTTTTAATGTGGATTAGACTATATAACAGTAATCATCCTATTAGGTTGCAATATATATCAATATCTTTGTATAATGAAGAAAAAAATACTATCAAAGTTAAACCATTATTTTAGTGTTAAAGCAATATTCAGTTTAATTTTATTAGTTACTTTATCATTATTAATGCAACTGTAATTTTATTTAAATAAGCTTCAGTAAATTAATTGGCAACAGAGAGATCAGTTTGTCGTACAGTTCTTTTCATTTTATATAAAAAATTAGGTTGTTTTACCGGGTGTCGATTTATCACAATCAATGTAGATCATATATTAATATCAATGAAATTATCCTCTGAATACAAAAAGTTTTTATTCACTTATTACTGAACTTTTTAATTTTATAAGTTTTCATATTTATTTAAAACCTTATAACTTATATGTTTACTAATAAAATGTATTCTTTATTTTGATGTTCTCGTGTAAAAATTATATTAAAAATAAAATTTTATCATATATATAAGAAAATTTTTGATAATTTTTCCTTAAATTGAATATCGGTAAATGATTGGTACTTTCTTTACATCAAAATATTTTCTGTTTTGTACTTTTAAAAAAGTACAAAACTGAAAATATTTTGATCTAAAGAAATAAATGTATTTATATAAAAGAAGTCAAAGAAAAAGATTTTTA